CGCGCCGGGGCCGGGGCGGGGTCCGGGGTGGGGCGGGGCTCCGACGGGGGGCGGGTTCCGACCGTGTTGGGTCTGCAGGGTGTTGGGTTCGACCGAGTGGGTCTGGGCTCCGGAGGTGCTGGTTTGCCGGGTGCTGGGTCTGCGGGGTGCTGGGTTCGACCCGGTGGGGCTGGGTTCCGAAGGGGTTGGGTCTGCAGGGTGCTGGCTTCCGACGGACCGGGCTGGGCTCCGAGGGCTGGGGCTGGGGCCGGGCGCGCGGGGCCGGGCTGGGGCGATGGGTGTGGGCACTCAAGGGTGGAGGGACAGCAGAGCGCGGGCAGAAATCCCCGTGGGCGGCGCGTTGGCGAGCGCGGGAGTGCGGCGGGTGCTGACCTCCGCTGCAGGGCCTGTGTGTGCCCTGCTCCCCTTCTAACCCCGCCTGGGTCCTCGCGGGTGCGGGTGGGTCACTAAGGTGTCCCTTCCAGGGTGGTTCCCTTTTTGTTGGGGTCCAATCAGAGCAAACCTTTGGGAGCCGCTTTTTTCTGAGGGCAATTGGTACGCTCCGTATGTGTGTTCAAAGATGAGGCTTGGGCAGTGCTCCCGGTGTTCTGGAGGCAATCCTCTCCTCCGCTGTCCTGCGTTCTTTGAGCCTTTGCTGTTGTCCAGGTGTGTCCTGCGGTGCAGAGTGCAGCTGGGGTGCCCAGCCCTCTTTGTGTCTGGCTGCCCGGAGACCGATTGTACCCGCAGAGCTCCCCAGACGTGGAGAGCAGGCCTAACGAGAGAGGGGAAGAGTCATTTCTTTGGGCAGGGAGAAATGCCACCTCACCCCGCTGTCAAAGCCTCCAAGTGTCCTGTAGGTGTGGAGGCCTCAAATTAATTTCACTAGCAAGCTTTCTAAATTGTAGGGATGTTTGTTTCATTAGGTGCTTTCTCTTTAATTGCCCCCTACCTTCCCCCTCCCCCCCCCGCCCAAAAATTATTTTTGGCCACAGAACACATTCCAACAGACTCTTTCCTCCATGCAGTGCTCATTCAGGTGAAGCTGGTTTCTTACATTACCTGTGATGTGCTGTAACCAAAAGCCTTCATCTTCGAATTGCCAGAGCTAAGGAATGAAAATAGTGAGTTATATTTGACAAAGCCTCTTTATTTTTGTCATTCCTTTGTCTTCCAGTGTGGAGATAATTTCTCTCTCCACCAATGGGATCTTTTCTTTTGTAGGAAAGAAGAGATCATCCCTACTGGGCTTTGTCCTCAGCTTTTTCCTCAGCACTCTACAGTGCAGGGGCGGGGAAGGAGGCTCTTCAGCCCAGGAGCCCCCAGGTGCTGAGCCAGTGGGGGTGGGGGGAGGAATCCTTCAGGAGTTCTGTGGTCTGCTCTCTCAAAATTAAAGGGCGGTGACTTGTAGAAAAGCAAAGATGTACAAATGGTGTCTTCACGTTCTTCTGGCATTCTCTTCCTTTACACCTTTAAGTTCCCGGGCTTCTTTACAGGCTCCTGTTGGTTTTCTTTTTGTTTTGTTTTGTGTTTGTAGTGAACACGGCAGAGTAACAGGGCTTGGAACTGTCTCGCTAGATTCCACGCGCGCCACGCGAGTCATCAGCCACCGTGTCAGCCGAGTTCTCGTTGTCAGAGCTTAATTCCTGATGATGCTGTTACCAGGAACCACTTCACTCGTGAAAAATTACGCAGTCTGCAAAGCTGGTGAGTAGCTTGCTGGTGTCCGAAGTAAGTACGTGCAGTATGGCTAGGGAAAATTCAGCATTGCTAGAAAGTACGTATGAGCTCCCTGCAGTGTCGTTTTTGTAATAAAAATGTCTGGCACGCACGGAAGGCCTGCAGTATGATGCAGGACACACAGACAGCTCTTAATCAATGTTAATTATTGTAGTTTTCGTGAGTCTCATTAAAAATCCCCATTTATATTATATGTGAGTAGTATATTAATATCCAAACTATAACTCATAGTAGATTGCAACCAGCATTAGTTTATTGACAAAGGTTTAAAAGCAACCCAAAATCCGAAGAATGCCTATGATTTCTAAATCATGAAGAGCCAGTATATATGTGTTCAGGCCATGAAAATATTCAGGCTGACGTTCTTCATTAACTATCATTGTTCAAGACCTCGAGGTAATACACTGATCCCTGTGTTAATTTTGATACCACATTATAAAAATAATTAGACACAGTCTTCTATTTTCAGTGTACTGTTGAGTTCTGATACATTTAAGAAATCAGATTTAACTGCTCCTCAAGAAATGCTGTGTAAAAATAAATTCATGCGGGATTTATTATTCGCCCCACCTCATAGACCGAGAAACCAAGATGTGAGACCAGAGACTAGACTGAAGGTGAGCAAAGCTGGGTGAGGTTGAAAAAGAAAATCTTTTTCATCTATAACTCTGTTTTAAGATTTATTTTCCACCTCGTATTTAACTTTTAGTTTTCTTTCTTTAAAATATTATTTTTAGTTACGCTTAAAAGAGTAAGAGCTCCTGCTTAAATCTGCATTGATCTACAAATATTTCTAAGTATCTCTGTCTAAAACTTAAATCTACTTAAAACCTTAAAGTATAATGTAATGGGAACAAATAAGGAATGATATTTTATTAAAATTCTGGTTAAACTCTGAACTTAAAAAAATTTTTTTCAGTATTAATGAAAACCAGGTTCTAAGACCAACCAAATGTAATAAACCTATTCCTGCCCCAATTTTCCCAAGCTTTAGAAAACAGAAAATGCCAAGAGAAAGATTAGGAGCTTAATCCATCTCAGAAGAACAAATGATACAAATATATCAACTCTGTTTAATCCGTAGGTCATTTAGTTTTCTAGCCACCAATAAATTTCATATTTCAGTAAGTTAATTTTGAAATATTTTAATCCTAAGATTGTACAGATCATCTTAGGAGCCCTTTTGCCAGATCTATCAATTCAGAGGATGGTCTTTAAATAAAACGTCAAGTAAAGGGATATAATAAAGTTACAAAGAGCAAACTTTCCGGGGTAGACTACATTCCACAAGTGAAGTTCATCTAGTTAGTTATAGAAAGTTAAATAACCAGACTCTTCCTCTGCCGAACCCATGGCTAGGAATGTCAGTGTTGTTAATTTAACTTTTAAAAAGAGAGAGATTCCAAAGGATTAAGTCTACAGAAGTAAGGAGGGTATGTGCTACTTTACTGATAAATGGAGGAATATACCTTTAAATTCTTCCTGCATTATATTTCCATGTTCTTAATGGTTAAATTCTAGGTTACCTGTTAGAATTTTCAGGAAACAAGGGAAAGCAGAGATACAGAAAGCCCTTAAAATAGGAAATTAAGCTTACCAACTCAGACATCAGTGGTTAAATGTGTTTGTTAGCATTTTATAAATTAAGATAATGCTGCAAAAAAAAAAAAAGCCAAATCTTAAGTAAAGAAGGTATTTACACTGAATGCAAAGGAAATAGACCATGTGCGTGCGCGTGCACGTGTGTGTGTGTGTATGTGTGTGTGTTTAAGGTGTTAGAGGGGAATTATACCTTGTGAACACCGGTCACTTACCCTTAATGTGTTGGAGAACTGCTTCATGTTACCTTAGTTTACCTAAGGCCACTTGATGCCCAGGACTTGTCTTTCTGACTCTGCTTCTGTCCCCCACTCCCAGCGCTGTGCACAGCACCGTGCTTTGCCTATAATTGATGTTGGATGAATAATCATTGACCGCAGTGGAGGCCGCTGTGGTCCGCGGCCCCCAGCCCAGCGCCGCCAGCCCTCTTGCGGTAGCGCCGTCACTCAAGTGAGTAATCTTTACACGGGTGGACGCCACAGCATGGAAGCCACAGATGGTTTCCACCCAGCCTTTCACCTTTTCTCTAGATAATAAAAAGTATAGTTCCAGACAGTGGTGCTGGAAGGAAAAGGCGTGTTTGCCTCATCCCTACAACAGAGGTCTTGGTCTACTGAGCGGCTTGCACATGACTCCGTCCACTGGCTGCCATTGATTCAACAGAAGCAAAGAGAATGCAGGAGACATTGTGAAAACCAGGTTCTAAGGTGAACTGACTCCTGCCCCAATTTTCATAGGCTCTGGAAACTAGAAAGTGTCAGGAAAAAAAATCAGGAATTTAACAGACCTAAGAAGAACCAAAGGTACAAATATATCAACCTTTATTCCCTATGTCTCATGCCCCTTTCTGCCAGAAAGTGGGTATGATATATATATATATACAAACAAAAAATTTTATAATATAATTACATATTATAAAAATAAAATATAAATAAAATGTGTCCTATAATTATTTATCTAAGTAATATAAATTATATATATAATGTATGCTGTTATATAGAATATATATAATTTCGTTAGAAAACATATTTTTAAATGCAAACTCCCATTACATTGTATTTGAACAAATGAAAACACAGACCAGATGAAGGGGACGTGGACCATTAAATGCTTTACCAGCACTAAGAACTGGAGAAACCAAGAGAAGTAAATGTTGAGAAATGTATTGTTCATGGGAAACCTGAAAGTGGAATATCTCAGGTCTCCCCCCCGGCCTCTCCTTTATCCACTAGCATCTCTGGAAATCAAAAATACCAAATTATAGGTGTTTGCTTTTGGAAATGCAGTACAACTTAAACATTTTTAAAATAGCTGATGTTTGCAAAGTCTTGTGGGAAGTGAAAATCTTGGCCTGAGGCTTTGGTTAAGACGGTGTTTGTGCTCGAGCTACTGTTGCCACACACATGCCCCTGCTCTAAATACACACTGATGATAGATGAAGGACAGAGAAAATGTAAAATTAGAGGGTACTGGAAACAACCAAACACCCCTGAGGATCCGCATTGGACACAAGTGCACAGGATGAGAAGGAGTTAGAGAAGCCATCCTGCTGGACTTGGGGCCCAGAGCAGGCAGATCCCACAAGGAGGTGGGGTCCTGTTGGGCAGTGGGGACTAAGAGCCCACAGGGAGGGGAGGAAACACGGATCCAGCCTTCTGACCAGGAGCTGAGCTAAGCCATACATTGGTATATCCGGATGCCTCCTGCCAGGACAACACTCCTTGCTCCAGGATGAAGGCCCCACTTGGACCAGGTCAATGCCTTCGTTAGCCAGAAGGAGGTGTGAGCAAAGAGGCACTGAGAGAGGGGGAGAAAGAAAGAGAGATTGAGAGAATCGCCACCTAGGATGAGTTGACAAACCCAAAATTCCAAAACACATGCACAAACCAAATGCTAACGTTACCATCAAAAGCAAGAATTGAAAGATGAATTCACTCCAGGCTAAAATTAACAAGTCAGGAAACAACAGATGTTGGCGAGGATGTGGAGAAAGGGGAACCCTCTTACACTGTTGGTGGGAAAGCAAGCTGGTGCAGCCACTCTGGAAAACAGTATGGAGGTTCCTCAAAAAGTTAAAAATAGAAGAACCTTACAACCCAGCAATTGAACTACTAGGTATTTATCCAGAGGATACAAAAATAGTGATCCAAAGGGGCACCCGCACCCTAACGTTTATAGCAGCAATGTCCACAATAGCCAAACTATGGGAAAAGCCCAGATGATGTCCATCAACAGACGAAGGGTTAAAGAAAATGTGGTGTATACACACACACACAATGGAATATTACTCCACCATCAAAAAGAATGAAATCTTGCCATTTACAACAACATGGATGGTAGAAGGTATTATGCTAAGCAAAATAAGGCAATCAGACAAAGACAATTATCATATGATCTCACTAATATGTGGAATTTAAGACAAAGCAGGTGAACATAGGGGAAGGGAAGGAAAAATAAGATGAAATCAGAGAGGGAGACAATCCATAAGGGACTCTTAACTATAGAGAACAAACTGAGGGTTGCTGGAGGGGAGGGGGTTAGGGGCATGGGGTAACTGGGTGATGGGCATGAAGGAGGGCACTTGATGTAATGAACACTGGGTGTTATATGCAGCTGATGAGTCATTAAACTCTACCTCTGCAACTAATAATACATTATATGCTAACTAAATTGAATTTAAATAAAAATTTTAAAAAAGATAAATTCACTCCAGACAAAATAAAAATAATGAAACATTCTGAAAAGAGCTTTAAATAAATATTTAGGAAACTTAAAGAAATATATGATGGGATAATGCCCATAAAAAGGGATAAGAAATTGTGAAATACTGAAGTGGCAGAAATAAAACAAGTGTATATTTAAACAGAACCAACTAGAAATCCTAGAGATGATAAATGTAGCAATTGACATAAACATAATAGAAGAAACGGGCTCAGAAACGTATCTGGAAAGTAGAATGGAAAGAGATTTTTAAAGACAGGAGTCCTATGAGGGACAAGAACAATAGGCTAAGGGTTCAATCTAATCTAGTTAGAATTCCAGAGGAATGAAGGGAATGACAGACAAGCATAATTAAAACAATAAAAGGTGGGAATGTTCCAGAATGTCAGAAACACATGAGTCTTCAAATTAAATGTGCTTCTAAATCCAAGCAGGATGAAGGAAAGTAAACCGACACTTGATACAGAGTTGGGAAACTGCAGGGTAAAGGTCAACGTGGAAATGTTAGTAGTTACCTGAGAATGGACTGCGAATGAAGGGAAAGGAATAGAATCCAAGAGAGGACCTAGAAAACATGCCCATTTTTGAGGGACGGACCTCAGGTGGGAGAGCACTCAGGCTCACACAGGGGCACGTGTGTCCAGCCATTCTTACTCACCTTACTTCACTACACCCCTGACCCATGAACAACATGGGTTTGAACTGCGATGGTCCACTCACACGTAGGTGTTTTACAGTATGGTACAATAAAGCTATTTTCTTTAAGATCTTCTCAAAAACATTTACTTTTCTCTAGCTTACTTTAAGAATACCTTACATAATGCATATAATGTACAATATGGGTTAACTGTTATCAGAAGGCTTCTGGTCAACAGCAGGCTATTAGTAGTTAAAGTTTTGGGGGAGTCCAAAGTAAAGCACATGTTTTTGACTGAGGGGTTGGCACCCTAACCCTTGCATTGATCAAGGGTCAGCTGTGTTCTAAACACCCTGTTTCAGTAACACTATTTCTTGATTGCTGCTACTGGCCGGGAAGGCAAGTAGGAGAGTTCTCCTCAGCAATACCGCCCTAATGTAGCTGAGTGCAAATAGCCCAGCTGACAGGGAACCTCTGTAGTTAGAGTGATGTGCTTGGATTAGATCTGAGATTTCCAAAAGTTGGTGGTCATCAGAGATTCCTAGGGAGCTTTTTACTTGTTTTGTAGCTTTCTTAGGATAGAAAATTTTCAATGCTATCCATGGGCATAATAGTATAGAGAGCTCCCTGCCCCCTCCCACCCTCCACCGCTCCCACATTCATCACAAGCCTGTTTCACGCACCCTCTGCCCTCTTTCCTCATCCCTGGATTATTTTTTAAATGTAGTCAGACATTATTTTATTTCATTCCTAAGTGTTTCCAATGAATACTTAGAAGACAAGGACTGTTGGGGCCCCTGGGTGGCTCTGTTGGTTGAGCGACCGACTCTTGGTTTCCACTCAGGTCATGATCTCCGAGTCATGAGATGGAGCCCTGCGTCAGGCTCCACGCTTAGCAGGGAGTCTGCTTGAGAGTCTCTTTCTCCCTCTGCCCCTTCCCCTGCTCACACGTGCACCCATCCACATGTGCACTCTCACTCTCAAATCTTAAAAAAAGAAAAAAAAAAGACAAGGACTGTCAAAAATACATATTTTCCTAATACCGTTATCATAACTTGAAGGGAAACAATTACTCCTCAGCTATCAACTATCAACTCCATGTTCACATTTCAGAGGACTTTTTAAACCTACATATTCCCTCAACCCAGTCCTAGACACTGAATCAGGATCCAGAATCTCCCTGAGTGATTCTGACAGGTCTGATAATCACTGGCTTCGATGATCTTTTAGATCCTTTATGACCTTGAGACTGACTTTTCCAAGGTCACACATCTGAAGTCACACCTAAGTGAGACTGTCTCCATTATGTCACAGAGCCAGCATGGGAATCTATTCTGTACGTGTTATCCTAAGTGTTGGGATGAGAAAGTAGCACAGGGTCAACAGTCAAATTCTCAAGTTTGAGGTCTGTCTCTTAACACTAATTATAGGACAGTGAATGGACCCTTGCAGCTCTCTGAGACTTGGTTTCCTCTGGTGAAAAATAAACATCACGGTGCGGATTACCCAACTGTCCACCATACAGAACTGTTACACTGTTCAAATTCAAGTAAGGCACACGAATGTGCTCGCCAAGAGGCCATGGCTATAGAGATGTTGTCATTCTAATTTGAACATTGGTACTGTAGGGTTGCAGAAAAGATTTTTTTAACAGACTTGAAAGTGAGTGAGACAGTACAGAAGTATTCATGCTTATGGATGTGGAAAAAAGAAAAATTGTAAAATTTTAACTTTTTATGCATATTTTTAATTATTAAAAGACACTACATTAGAAATTCCATTTGTTCAGGACATTGCAGTAAGCCTCTAGAGCCTTGGGAGAGTTGTAAGCAATAGAATGCTTTAATAAATATCTGGGTGGTGGTTATTTTCACTATGTATTATCATAATTGTTTTCATCACAATGCAATGTCTATAACGAATTTGGTACATTACATACTGTGAATTTTTAAACTCTAATTCTGTATGTGGGAGAAAACAAGTGCTCATCTATCCTTCCCAAATTACTAAACCACCTTTCCAGTTGTTTCCATCTCCAAGACTCAAGGGTGTCTTGCTGCCAGTCCCCTCCTTTTCCCTCTTTCTCCAGCCCGCCCCCCCACCCCATCACATGCCTTCTCCAAACGCCCAACTCAGGGGCTCCTTGCTCTGATTTCAGGGTTGTTCTAACTCCCTCCTTTCTCACTTTGCATGTCCTGTTGGTCCCCAAACCTGGCACTTCTCTTTACCCTCAGTACTCTCCTGAGATTTTGCTGCACTGTCCCTCCTATTTCAAACCCATCTGAACTTCCTAACACACGACAGCAATCGTATCATAGCTGCCATCCCCCTGATTACAGCCTCTCATGCAGTCAGCTCAGCCTGGCTCATCTTGGTAGCTCAGTTTCCTACTATTTCACAGGTGAATGCCTCTCCATCTCACAAACTTGCTTCTGCCTCCTCACCTCCCCAGTTTTGCTCACATCTTCCCTCCACTGGGAATATCCCCTCTTACAGCCACCAGTTGAAATCCTAACCTCCTCCCTAGACATCCGTGCTG